AATAATTTTTTCGAATTTTTTTTAAGCTTTATTCCGACCGATTCACCCGATTCCCGATCCGGATCGCCGATTCGCCGATCCGGATCGGTTTTTTGGAAGCCCGATCCGGGTCACCGATCCGTTTTTTAAACCATTGGCTGAAACTATTATTCCCCCATTGATTTTATCGGATATTGAAGGTAGGGCATCATGGCCTAGGTTATCAACTTTCCATTCTCGATCTTGAAGGTAAGGCATCATGGGCTAGGGGCTTAAACCAATGGTTTAAAAAGTGGATCGGTGATTCGGATCGAGCATCTCAAAACCGATTCGGATCGGTGAATCGGGGATCCGGATCGAGAATCGACTAAATTGGTTGGATTAAAGCTTCAAAAAAATTCGAAAAAATTATTAAAATTCATTATAAATGTTGTTTTTTAGGAATCCAATAAGAAATGAAAGTACTACATTATTAACTTTCATTTTTTTCATCAATTTGTGAATATTGAGATGCTCTTTCCCCGTATAAACTTATGTTAACCATTAAATTTGCATCACATAAAAGAAAAATCATAGAATTATCATAGATAAAATATATAATTATACATGGACTATTATAAAGAGTAGATTAATCAATGAAAGAATGGCCATTATTTTGACGAAAAAACCCTAATCCGCTAAAAAAATCCAAATTATTACAGTCTGACTAACTATAATCCAAAATTATTAAAACCTAACTAATTATAATATTATATACTGAAATTATAATTATTAGTTTACATTTTATAATTATTTTATTAGACAAATAATAACAAATTTAAAATATTATATAATATTATCTAATTTAAAATGTATTATTGACAACTGTAAGAAAAATAATACATTACATGATTTATAATGTAAAAATTAATAAATAAAATAAAAGATTTGATTATCAATGTAAAAATTAATAAAATGCGTACAAATTTTGGAAATAAAACTTCAATTTTTCAAAAATTTATTTTTTTAGGTTTATATAATAAATTTAGTGAAAGAGATTGTTAGTAGAAAGATGGAGATTTTAAATAGAATAAACTTTTTATGTTTTATTTTTTTATGCTTTTCATATTATTTTAAAAAATAATTGTACCACTATATACAACAAAAATTAACTGCTTTACAAAAAATTAAATTTTTTATTTTTCATTTTTTTATGCTTTTTATATTATTTACAAAAATATTTATACAATATATACAACACGAAACAAAAATAATGCCTATGAGGGGAACCTTGAGAGGTCAAGTGAAGAAACAAAGGTCTTAACTACCACGCCACCTCACCATATGTAATTATAACTTGATGATTAATAGAATATATTTAAATTCTTTTTTCATTTAATGATGTTTGGAAATTATCCCACATCGAAAGATGGGTATTCCACTTTGGTATATAAATACGTACGTAATATAGATTAAAATGTTTGTGTAGAAATATTAACCTTCACACGTGTCGCACGCTTCCAAGGAAGGAACCGGGCTGAACCGGACAGAACCGGATTGGAACCGGCGGTTCTTCTCTAGAACCCGGTCGGTTCCTGGTTTTGTATCGGAACCGACCCGGCTGTGCCTGTTCCCGAGTCGAACCGGGACTCTCCGATTTTTAAAACACTGGCTGAAACTAGTTGTTCCCTTCCGATTTTATCGGATAACTATAATATCTTTTGATTTTATCGGATAACTATAATAGGAAAATTTAAATTGTTTGGTTCTTTTTTTTTAAAACAGAAATTGGTCTGATTTTGGTTTTTGAAAAACAAAAAATGGGAAATTTCATTTTTTTTAAAAAATTTGTTATGAAGTCCAAAAAAACGGACATATCAATAATAACAGAAAGTATTTAGCATTTTGGTAATAACGGAAACTAAAAGAGATATTTACCTAATTTTTTCAATTTAAAATGCAATCCATGTAATAAAATAGATTTCTCTAACTCAAATATATAATGAAAAATTACATATATATCCATTATATTTGTCATTACTATAAAAATAACTTTTAGTTTCTATTATTACATATATATTCGTTTTTTGAACTTCGTCGTACTTTTTTTAAAATGGCAAAACTACCTATTTTTCGTTTTTAAAAAATCGAAATTATTAAAGAATTGAAATTTTTTAAATTTAAGTTTTCGTAAAACCCAATTTATAGCGAGAGGAAATTTCAAAATGGCGTGATCTTTTAGGTCTCCTCTCTCTCCTCTTTGCAATTTTTCTCCCTCATACAATGAACCTAAAACCCTTGGAAAAAAAATATGATCCTTTTCATCTCTCTACTCCATAGCCATGTTCTCAGCCTACACAGGACGGGGCCATTGCTAACTACCAGGACCTCACCCTCCATTTTCAGAGGCCCCTTCCTCTCCCCTCCGTTGCCCTTGAGATCCTCTCATGGCAAAGCCCTAGCTCTAATCAGAGCTTAAGTCATTGAGAACAAAGTAACGAGAAAATCACTTACTGCAAATGAAGGAAAAAGAAGATAATCCATCAATCAGCGAGAATTTCGCCAAAGAAACAGAAGAAAAGGTGGAGGACTTGGCTACCTCCTTCAAAGATGGGTTCTTGAAGAGGAGACCGAGGTCTCACCCATGAAACCCTAACGCTAACCTTAAACAATGATGTTCAAATAATTTGCAAGGTGTTATCAAGAGGCAATTGTGGTTCCGAGACACAGGCTGCTCTCTCCGACCTCATGTCTGATTGATTGAGGAATGCGTAGTTAGGGTTTTAAAATTGCAGAAAGATATGCTTCCTTCTTTGAAGTTCTTTGATTGGGCGGGTAGGCAAGTAGGGTATCGCCATACCAGAGCAGCCTACTATGCGAGTT